TTAAACAGAACTTGGTTCATGGTATCAACATTTTTGAAATGAGCTCAAAAGACTTCTCAAAAACTTTAAAATCTATTATAAGAATTTTATCGACTACATTTAAGGCAAGGATTGGACATGTCCTATAAGTTTTCAGCATTTTTAAAGGTTTTGTTAGCATCTGCAGAGCATGTTTTACCTGCAGGCTGAGACGTGACTGTTGAGTGAGGAAACATGTTGTTTGGGGGGGTTCTGTGTGCTTCCTGAAGTCCACAACAACCTCCGCTGTCTTCTGGGTGTTTAGCACCAGGTTGTTGTGGTGGCATCAGGACACCAGCCGTTTGACCTCCATTCTGTAGGCAGACTCATCCCTGTCAGAGATGAGTCTGATGAAGGTGGTGTCGTCTGCAAACTTGATAAGCTTGACAGACTCGTGGTTGGAGGTGCAGGGAGAAGAGCAGAGGGGAGAGAACACAGCCCTGAGGGGAGCCGGTGCTGATGGTCCGCAGGTCAAAGACATTCTTCCCCAGCCTGACTTGTAGGTGTGTGTGTTTTTTTTATTTTTATTTTTTTTGTTGCTTGCTGCCCGTCAGGAAGTCGGTGATCCACCTGCAGGTAGGGTCAGGATCATTCATCTGGGACAGTTTGCCGTGAAGGAGGTCTGGGAGGATTGTGTTGAAGGTAGAGCTGAGGTCCACAAACAGGATCCTGGCGTAGCTACCGGGGGAGTCCAGATGCTGCAGAAAGTGTAGAGCCATGTTGCTACCATCATCTACAGACCTGCTGGCTCTGTAAGCAAACTGCACTTGCACATAAAACACATCATTTCTACACACCATAGAACTATTGCGTCTTTTAAAAAAGACTCTTAACTGGTCACCTCTTTCCAGACCAATAAATTCAATAATTTGCCTTTTATTTTTTTTTAATAGAAATAAAACCACTTTCCTGAGAACTGCCATGTTTCTGTAAACCTATGATGCCAGGCACTGGGAGATCTCAAAAAGCAGATGGGGGGAAAATAATTCAGTAACTCAGTTCTGAGCTTCATACATGGACAGCCTGCAGCAATGAAAGCCCATCACTATCTTCTCCAGTCTTTAAAACACAGCACACCAGGGCCTCTCTTCCTTTGGCTTTTCAGATGTTCAACAGCGTGTCTTTACGTCATCCCACTGCCGCCTCGGATGAATGACAGCTACTGCACAGGCCTCTTTAGACCTTTGTATCTGCCTGTCACTGCTGTAGATGGGAACTTACCTTTATGACCTAATACGTCCATCAAAAACCAGAGCCAGCTATTAGTCCTGTTCTTGAATGGATGAAAAAGAATAGCATTTTGGAACAGTTACAGATTTTCTAGAAAGCTTTTATTATCTTTTATTAAGAATACTTAAATAAAAATGCAATCACAGAAAATAGTGATGAAGAAACAACAAATTGTAATAAAACTACACCACAATGTTGTGATTTATGGTGGCCATCGCAATCACACACACACACAATGTCAGGGAAGGGACGTGTATATTTAATTTAATCTGGTGCATACTGTGGGTTTGAGATATTTAACGGTATAGGTGATTAATGCAGGTGATGGAGCGTTGCATACTCCTCTGACCTCAACAAGTTATTTTAATTGACTCAACTTCATCTAACTGAATATTTTCTCTTCTTTTAGACCATTGTCTGTAAACCCTTGGAGGTTGGGAGTTCAAATCCCAGATCAGACCAGTCTGTCTTGCACCAGCAGCCATTTCACATTCAAATTTAATTAAATTCACTCTGATGCTCAGCTTTGATTGCTTTTTACAAGAATTTCTTTCTAATATAAGTGTCTTATAGGAAAAAGTGTCAATGTATAAAATGATATTGCATGTGCAGATTTGGTTTTGACACTAAAACTATAGGATTAGTCTGCATTCAGCTGTGCAACATGGGCAGAATTAGTGCTGCCGATCTGGTGGTGCTGTAGCTGTCCATGACCTAAATCTGACTGAACACAGCTTTCATCTTCTCAGCGTATGGGCTTTTCTGGTGTTCTCAGAGCAGCATCAAAGAAAGAGAACATGCTTTGTTTTTGGTTTTATATTTTCTGTTTGTCATTGAGTTCCCTTTCTTCTCCTGCTTTGGTTTTCAGATCATACATCCTTGTCAGCTGTGCTGGTTTTGCCTAATAAGACCCACTAAACATAAAATCTCATATCAAACTGGCAAAAAACGTTCCAAATCTTATGTCCACAAGTTCAGAAACCTTTAAAAATAATTTTTAGAAAAGTTTCTTACTTCAGCATGCAGATGTTCTAAATAGTTCCTGCAATTTTCGGCTTTAATCCTTAATCTGTCTTTATGTGGGATCTAATGAACGATTAGGTCCTTAACAATTCTGGATTCACCAATTCTAATTTAGAAGGCTGATATCAATCAAAATCAGTTCTGACCTGCCAATACTGGTTTTGGCCAAGTAAAATACATCTACATAAAAGCACTGAGCAATAATGTGTTCATAGACTGGAAAAATATAGATTTTTCCTTTGTTGCCTGGCAAAAGTTTATTCAGGATTGTAAAAACATATATGAGTTTCCAATTTGCCAACGGCTGATTAGATGGAAAAGGATAAATATTGGGCGATCCTGAATACAAGGTGGTTTTGGTGAAAACCATTTTTTCAAGCAGAATCAGGTAGGAAACAATCCAGAACCTCAATAAGACATTTGAATTCACATGTAAATGAACTTCTTGGGAAATATTTAGACCACCTGTAGACTAAAGCAAGAATATTTTCATAAAACTACAAAATGAACAGAACACATTTTCCTCTTATTACAGTTTTTCTCAATTGCTAAAGCACAATTCCTGAAACCTTGCTCTCTTTTCTCAAAGCATCAAACACAAAACCTCAGCTTCAAGCACAATTTACAAAACCTCTTGCAAAATCAAACTTTTACCTCAGAACAGTTTTAGCTGTGCTCAAAATCAAACACTGTTCTCAAATCATAAACACATTACTCAAAATTACATACACCATCAAGCAGTCAGTAAACAATACACCAAAAAATAGGAGGCACAATGTTCAGGGCCATACAATTAGTTTATTGTACCATATACAGTCTGCAGTCGAAGCAAGTTCCTAGTTTGTGAATCGTTTGTTCACTAACAATGGCAATAAACCTTTTCTGATTCTGATTCTGATTCAGTCCATTGTGCTACAGCGTTCAATGACAGTGAAAAAAATACATGAAATGAAAAACATCAAAGGACTAAACATGTTATCAATGGGCCTCTTCTTGTCTGGGCTGGGTCAGGCCACAGCACCTCATCGACATCACATGCAATATTTTCCCTCCTGAGGCTCAAATTGGGTTGCACTCTAAGTCCTGCTTCCCTCATTGTCAGCCCATGGAAAACAGCATGGTCTATGATTGTTGCTCAGATTTCATTGGATATTTCCACTCTTTATCTTGCTCTTCCTCTTCATCCTCATCCTCCTCTTTCTCTTTCTTGCCCTCCACCTCATACCCCACCTCGCATACGCATCCGTCCTCATCCTCTTACATGATTTCTTCTATCAATTGTCACACTTTCTCATTCCCACCTTCAACAACCTGTTTGCTCTCTGAACTTGCTTATAATGGTCGTCACACCATTTGAAACAAGCAAAATCTATTTTGACTGATTGTGGTCAATCAATAACATTTGTGCTCTTGTTATGGGTAAATGTGTGCCACTTGTGCTTACCTTTATGGATGACATGATGTACGTTAGAGTGCTGAATGTGTTTTAAGAATGAGAATGTGTTTAGAGTTTTGCTAAACCGTGTGAGATTGTTTAAGGTTTTGACAACAGGCTCAACAGTTAGCTTAATGAGTTCAAGCAACTGAGAACTTTCTTCAGTCAATGGATTTTAGTGTTTTAGCAACTGAGAAAAACTAATATGTATCAGTATTTCATGTCTATTGATTTAATTCTGCTGGTAAAAATAGAAAAGGCACTTTAGATTAACAGGTATTTAAATAGTTCCCACTGATCATTGCGTAAAATTTTCAACAGCCATGTGTGTTTTCACCCGTGTGTTTATAGGATTGCCTAATAATTCCAGGTCATCATTTTGCTCTGTTGCATCACAGCAAATGAAATCCCAGATGAGTTTACTTGTTCCCCCATGCCTGTGAGGGCTTTTTCCAGCCACTGTCCAAACCGATTAGTGTTATTTGGAAATTGTGAATTGACTGCAGGATCGTGTGTGTGTGTGTGTGTGTGTGTGTGTGTGTGTGTGTGTGTGTGTGTGTGTGTGTGTGTGTGTGTGTGTGTGTGTGTGTGTGTGTGTGTGTGTGTGTGTGTGTGAACACATGGTTGTTGGGCTCTGTGTTAGCATAGTATTCTAGTGAGTTACCCAAGGTGGATAAGGCCTTTCTCCCTATCTAACTAGGAAAACCTGCAGCTTCTCACACCTTCTCATTCAATCTGTTTTCTTTATTTTCATGACATTGGGAGCTTCTCACTGAAGGCATCAAAACTATGAATGAACACATGTGGAGTTATGTACTTAACCAAAAAAGGTGATATAACTGAAAACATGTGTTGTATTCTATTTTCTTCAAAAAAGCCACCCTTTGCTCTGATTACTGCTTTGCACACTCTTGGCATTCTCTTGATGAGCTTCAAGAGGTAGTCACCTGAAATGGTTTTCCAACAGTCTTGAAGGAGTTCCTCTTGAAGCCCATCAAGAGAATGCCAAGAGTGTGCAAAGCAGTAATCAGAGCAAATGGTGTTTTGTTTTGTTTTTTGAAGAAAGGAGCATGTAAAACAAGTTTTCTGTTATTTCACCTGTTTTAGTTAAGGAGATAACTCCACGTGTTCATACATAGTTTTGATGCCTTCAGTGAGAATCTCCCAATGTAAATGGTCATGAAAATAAAGACAAAACATTGAATGAGAAGGTTTGTCCAAACCTTTGGCCTTTACTGTATGTATAATTATAAGAATGCAAATTGATTGTACTTTTTATTCTTTTTTTCAATAGTTGTGGCTGTAGAACCACTGGTCCAAGGCCTGGAGAAGGTAACCGAGGAAATAGACTGGTCCTACTCAG